GGCTAATAAATTCTCAGATTTTACTCGCCAGTGTGAGTTGGATGCTGAGTATATGATTAGCACAGATATATTTTCACTCACAGAACACTCTGACTGAGCGCTCGTTTGAATGGATGCGCAGCGCACCTGTGTTTGTGTATTTGGCGTAATGTGTTTCTAGTGTGAAGGCGCACGACTCGGTGTTGCTTTCTCTCACTATGAGCAAAGAGCGAGAGTCTTACATAACATGCAGAATTGATGTGCTTCTAGAATAACTTTTGCGACTGAATTATCCACTAACCTAGTTTATGATACATTTTTGTCATAGATTATAAATATACATAGGCCTATATTTTTTCATATTTGTTTATTTTATTTTTCTTTATAATGAAGTAGTCTGTATCTAGTAGATTGTGAAAGAATGATTATCAGTTCCACACACAGAGATATATAAATACTACATTTATTTAAATGAGGGAAAAAAACTTCACTGGTATCGGATCGGAATCGGTATCGGCCAATACCGAACCCTAGGTATCGGAGGCAAAAAAGGCAGATCGGAGCATCCCTACTTCTAATAAACAGAATGCTCCGTTGGTGTGGACCCTAATATAGTTATTATTCTTGGTATGAACAAGTCTTTTTAACACACACAAAAACTAAAATTCATTTACTGACAGAATGATGTTGTTCCAAAACTCTATAACTTTTTTCTGTGGTTTATAAAAGATCTATAGTTTTTCCTTTTTTTTTTTTTTTTTCCATACAATAGAAGTCAATGGTCACCAAAACGGTTTAGTTACCAACACTTTTCAAAATATTTTCTTTGTTGTTCCACAGAAGGTGGACAGAGTTTTTAAATGAAAGAAGGTACATTTGAGTACCTGAATAATTTTAATAATAATTTTAAATAATATCTCTTTAAGATTAACAAGTTTGTTATTTAAGTTTTGTTTGAGCTGCTTAGCAGAACATTAATTCATGATAGCTAGATATTTGTGCATAGGACAGTATATATTGCTTGTTAAGGTATTTCTGTCAAATAATCAGTACATATTATTACTGAATCAACATAAATCCATACACAGTGAGAACGTCCCTTCACAGCTTCTATAATCATGCTGTCAGTTTGACCAAACAAATTCAAATTCAATTTCAAGCAAAACTGTGAATAATATAAGGAATGTTTAAAGTCAAAAAAGTACATGTTTGTGTTTATATGGCACTGCACCTAATCAACACACACATGCGCATTTATTATTAATATTATATGCAACCAGCAATTTAACTTCACACATTTGAGGCTTCAATGCTTTTTCCCCTCACGTCATGGAACTCCTCCCTCATAATGAGCTAAACGCCACAGCTCTGCCTCAGCAGGGGTTCCTCTCTCGGTCTAAAAGCAGTTTCAGAAATTAAAACCTTTAAAATTTTCTTCACAGGGCTTCCACAAGAGCACAGGGCACTTTGATTGTGCATTTTTAATGCAGGTTACTGATAACAATTTATACTTAAAAGCTTTCTTCGCAGTGTATCTGGAGATTAAGGTAATAGAGGGGAAAGAGAGAGCAGAGAGCAAAAGGGACACAGCTGAGTTTGAGGGAAAATAGTGCCTTTCTTCTACAAAAATGGGAAAGTGATGTTAGGAGGTATATTATTCATGTCTGGAACTCCCCAAGATGTGTTTTATGTAAATCTTCCAACCTTTAGTACACTACAAAGGGCTTTGAGGGTGCAAAGGGCTTGGAGTCTGGTAAACCCACTAAAAGTGCACTGTTGCCCCATTCAGCAAATGAAAGCACTAAATCAGTATTATGTTTTTAGCATTATGTATAATGCTCTGTAAATAAGCTATTACATTTTACCAGCCCACAAGGTACTAAGAATTCTGAACAACTTTGAATCTACATAACACCACCAACGCATTTCCCCCAAATGTTCTTCAACTAGCTTAACAGAGGCTTCTGAAAAACTCTGAGCAATGCTGCTGATTTCCAACTTCCCAGCATGCAACTGCAACATGAATAAATGCTGTTAAGTGTTTTGCTGCTTGCTGGCTTTATTTAAAAACCTTTTTACACAATAATGTTTGTTGACTGTCACCATTACACGCTGTTATTCTGGGGTAAATTGTTTATTAAATTATTAATAAAAAAATGCCTGAACTTTTGTCAACAATTCCTTAAAAAAAAATTAAAAAAATCAGAGGTAAACTGGAATCACTGTGACATACAAAAAATTACAGCAACACTAAAAAAACAATACAAATGTAATTAAAATGTAAATGTAAAAATGTCTTTTCTGGTTTTAGAACCATCATTTTATTTAAGATAACTCAAATCTAATGTGTAATTTATGCAAAAATGCAAAAAATATTAAGCAGAACAGTTTTCAACTGTAATTATAATAATGTTAAGAAGTCGCTTTTCAGCGGGCTTCTAGGACGCACCATGATGTAGAAAAACAGAGATGGCCCAACTCAAAAATGCACTCTGGTGCAAAGTTATGTTTATTTACAGTGAGGCTTTGTTAATTGTCTTGCCTACCGAGAGACATATTACATTGGAGCGAGAGCTCCTTTTATAATGGTCACGTGACCTCACCAGATCCTCTTCCAGGTGACTGGCGAGACTGGAAGAGCGCGGCTGATACATAAAAAACTGTCTCCAGCAATGCTCAGGTTCATCCCCACCTCCTCTGACCCGGGACTAAATCAAACAACATAACACTACTATCAGCATAACATGGGTAAAGCATATATTTAAAAACATCTTGCATTACAATTCAACATAACCCAGGTGCGATGTATGTAAGCAAGTAGGGTAATGTATGTATATAATTGCAAATAATGCATTATATATATGGCAAGGGAAGAAGGTGTGATGCTGAAATTAATGTCCATGTGCCATATGATAACGTGTGCACCAGCCACTACGGCAGTAACGGAGGGGATAAAGGGAAGAATGAGCAGCATGGATGCATATGGAAACCAGTGCCATTCAGCCAGGGCTGGAACTCCTGCCTTTCCAAACAAGAAATGGTAGTATATTTACAATAAATCAAATACAGAATTTTAAAGATGGTTGATGCAAAACAGCCAAGGTTTAAGCTAAACATGTTTCATAATAAAAAAAGTATTATTATTGTCCCTGTTCTCTGTCCCTGTGATGAGCTTCTGGTTCACGTGGAGGTGATTGATTTGAAAAAGATTTGAAATGTGATTTTTGCAAAACATGATTCTTCAGAAGTTATGGGCTGTACAGCATTACGAGTAATATGTATTCATAGACCGTGCCTTAACATCTTCAATTATAAATCAAAAGGAGCAGTCCTGCAGGTTATTCTATAATAAAAAATAGAAGTCTCAGGACCAGACATCAAGCAGGAAATCAATTATAATCAGCAGCACAGTGAAATATTACAGCGATGTTAATGCTCTTATTTTCCAGTTCAGCGCAGGACTGTACGGCACGCAAATCACAGCTATAAATCCACAGAGATAAACAAACTCTGTCACGCTGCTAATCATAGTGCTAATAGTCAGAAAATGGAAAACCATAAAAGATAGAGTTGAAAGACGTGTCCTGTATTTCATTATTACATGATTAAGTATAAGAGAAAGCGTAAACCCATAGTGACACAAGGACAAGAGATTTCACTCTGCTGTGTTTGGAGATATGAAAAGCACGCGTGTCTAGGCTGGATAATAGGCAGGATAATTACATATTATGAACACAACAGGGCAATTCAATTGTGATATATGCATTTTGTAGACATTACTGGATAATGGCCAACAGAGAAACACAATAATCTCTTTAGTCCAGCCAGCATGATCTCATCAGTATATTTTGGCTTTAAAATACAAAGTAAGTAACACACATACAATTTTTACATTTGAATTGACAATACAACACCAACCTATAGACAGCTTCTAATGTCTAACTAATTTAGAGATGCTTGATCGGTCGGCGCCGGACCGCAAATTTAACCACCCGTAACTCCCGAACCCCGGGGGCTATCGACGCGGGGGTGGTCTCATTAGAAAGCAGGCCTCTAGACGTACGATTCTCGTTTGAGAGGGTTTCTCGAGCTGAAGGGATCCCCCGAATTTGGTGCGGATTCGCCGCGCCGTTATGGAGATATGGCCATTCAAAGTTTTAATGGTTTTCCATAGACTTAAGCTTTAAAGCGTTTCATCCAGGTCGCCAGTAGCAAACAATGGAGCGCGCTCTGCTGGACAAACTAAGTAATTACACCATTTCAAGCATTTTATCTGCGTTGATCTGTAAAAAAAATGTCAAATCGGCGGCATATCTGCAGCATATTCGCCGATACCGATATATCGGCGACAGGCTCATATCGGCTGATAATATCGGCAAAACGATATATATTGGTCGGGCTCTAATATAGACACTGTAATATTAATAATAATCAACAGGTGACTTAGCCTACAGTACAGAAAATATTTAGCCATACTAAACAAATCAGCAAATTTTTAGCTGCTCTGCCGTGGATTTAAAATGCTGAGTTTGCTTTTATCCATGAGCCCTTCAGCAGTATTTAGGAGTTTCTTATATTGATAAAGATCCTGAAGGGCTTTAAAAGGCCAAATGCATAATACATAATATTTCCATAATAGAGATAGTTGGAGAATCAATGGTTTTATAGGTTGCATGTCAAAGAGCAAAGTTAAATCAATATTGGTTTATAATCTAATAGTAAATTGAAATACCTTTATTTGGCAGCCGGATTATTGTGTGTGTGCAGGCGTGTTAGTGTGTGAGAGAGAGGAAAGGAGAGAGAGAAAGTGTGTGTGTAAGCAGAATTTCTATTTTATTTATAATCATAAAACACACTCATTCTCACCCGCTGTGACAATTTATCAATGCAAGAACATTAAACACACACACACACACACACACACACACACACACAATGCACTGAAGACTAACTGTACATTATCCAGACAGGACCTATTTTTAGTGAATTCCTCTTTATTTTTCATTCCTCCCAGGACTTACCTGCAGCACACTGCTCCTCATCTGCTCCATTTTCACAGTCCTGTTCACCATCGCAGCGCCATGACAACGACACGCATTTGCTCGTCGAGCCGCCACAGTCAAACTTCTCTGGTGGACACGTCTGTCGACCTATGAGTGAAAGCAACACAGAGAGCTGTTCAAGAATAAAATATCAACTAATGCCAAAAGGCATATTCCTGGATGCTGATCAGTCAATAATATACAACACAAGGACAAATTTTCATACAAAACAAATTTTCTAAGATAGTGTCAATATCATCTCTAAATACAATACTATTAATAGATTGTAGATTTTTTTAATGTTTTTGGAAATCTAATGTTCACTACTAATCAAAAATACAGTAAAAACTATAATATTGTGAAATATTGTTATAATTTTAAATGTGACGTGCTAAATTTTCCGCAGTCTTTACTCCAGTCTTCAGAGTCACATGACCATTTAAGAATCACACTAGATTTGGTGCTCAAGAAAAATGTCTTATTATCAATAATGTTGAAAACTTGCTGATTAATATTTTTGTAGTAACTGTGAAACATTTTTTAGGTGAATTTGGTGAATAGAAAGTTATTAGAAAACTACAATAACTAATTATATAAAACTATAATAAAATTCTATAGTTTGAAACCATTGAGCATTTATTTAAAATAGGATTTTTTGTGTAACACTTTAAATGTCTTTATTGTCACTTTTAATAAATGTAACATCCTTGCTGAATAAAAAGTAATTTCTTTCTTTCAAAAAAATTTAAATAATAAAAAATAAATCTGACTCAATAAATTATAACATTTTTGTCATTTGTAATTATTTTCAATGTAAAACTTTTACACAAATACTAAACAATAAAACAAGACAATAAGACAATAAAAACACCAATGAGACATTTAAATAAACCATATGAAAAAAAATCTATTTAAATAGATTTACAATAATAACTTTTTCAACATGCTGGGAAATCCCTAATAAGCACGTTTGAACACTGTATTGAACATTGTATTCTCTGAACTCTGACCCAGGAAGTACTCTGACATTTTTTACACTGAAAACCCCAAAAGACAACTAAAACAATTACAATAATACTATCGATTATAATAACACAAGAATTAATTAATCTTTATTATTTTGATTAGGTTTTTTAAATTTTTTAATTGTTGGACCATGCACTGATGTTTAACTTCAGAAAAAAAATGATTAGAAGACAAGCAAATGCTATAATTGTCATGCACAATGAAGGGAACAATGCGTTTTTCATACAGAATAAATATAAATAAAAATATATGCATTTAGTTATATTAAGTCAAACTTTTGCTGCTGCTGCTTCTTTTCATTTCGTTATAAAATGATGCTTTCTACATGAAGTTTCTTTTTTCTTGACAAGCCCCATCACACAAACACACATTCAATATAACATCTCTACTGGCTATATTTTTTGCCAAAATCGAAGCCCATTGAAACATTTTTAAGTTTCATCCCAGATCACACAGCATTCCCAAGACAGCTCCATAAATTATACATCTCTACATGTCTGGGAACCCAACTACAAATCAATAGCAGCTAGACTGATTTCTCTCTCTCCCACTCTTCAGTCTTTTGAGTAATTTTCAGTGTATAAAAGAAGATTTATGAAGACCTTCTCACCTTCTCTGACACCTAGAATCTGTGTCTGCAGCCCATTGTTGTCTGAACCCTATCTATAATCATCAGAATGAATGCCATGTCTCTCGCTGGATTTCACTATTGTACAGCCTTCTCTGAAGAAATGGGAAAAAGACAGCTGTGAATCTCATTTGAGATATCTCTTCATCAGCACACAGCCATTGTGGCTTTGCAAATTGAGGCCCAGTCCTCATCTGTGGAAGCCATATTGGATCGAAGACTGTCAGAGAAAAAAGCCCTATTTAAAGGGATAGTGCACCCAAAAATGAAAATTTGATGCTTATCTGCTTACCCCCAGGGCATCCAAGATGTAGGTGACTTTGTTTCTTCAGTAGAACACATATGATGATGACCGCAAGGCTTGTTGGTGTACGACTAGGGAAATGTATGTGACAGAGCGGGTTTGTTTGAACAGCCTTTTTATGTGCGTGTGCGAGCGGGTGTGTTTCTGGCTTTGTCAGCATGTGTCTGAATAAACTGAATGACCCATTCTCACTGTCTGGCTGACTGCTAGAGATAGCGCAGCCTCATGGGAAACTCAGTCTGTCTTATCTCCTCTCTCTCCTCGCTACCCCTGAAGACTACTGTGCCCACAGGGCTTTTCATTCACTGCCCATAAAGCCCTGGTTTCCTCTAGTTCACACAGCAAAACACTCAAAGAGGTTTGATAAAGGCACCACAACCAATGTAAAATAAACAACACATTGGGAATATCAACATTATTTTAATGTACTTTAATCTGCTCGTTACACTTCCTAAAGACCGTCAATAGGCTAGTTTCATGATCTTTCCTTATGAAAACATTAAGACAGATGTTTTAATAGTATCTCTGATTTAAACTTCAAAAAAGTGTTAGAGTTGCTAAGAGTTTCAATTCAAACAATGAATCAATTCATAACGCAAAAATTCAATGAAATGATTGCATTATCACTCAAACACAAACATGCACGTCACACACATACACTCTACCACTTGGAGTTAGTATGTTATTTTTTAATTAATATTTTCATTTAGCAAAGATGCATTAAATTGATCAAAAGTGACAGAAGTTACAACATTTTCTATTTCTAACTATTCATCAAAGAATAAAATCACAAAAGTATTAAAGTGCACAACATTTGGTTAGGAGTTCTATATGTTTAAAAAAATGATAATAATAACAAATGTTTCTTGAGCACCGAATCAGCATATTAGAATGATTTCTGAAGGATCACATGACACTGAAGACTTCAGGAATAAATTACATTTTAAAATATACAAATATAAAATGGTTATTTTAAATTGTAATATGATTTCAGAGTATTACTCATTACAGAAGTGGTGCTTGATGGCTGTAGCAGTGGAGTGGATGAATTTAGAGATAGAATCGTTGTAATCACCTGCGTCTTCAAAGAGTTTCAGACACTGACAGCATAAATCCTCAGTTTAAGAATATAATATTAAAAAACGAATATATTATTATAATAAAACAAGAAAAAATTGCCACCAGCAAATAATACCCCAAGACCTCTCTGATCGTTCTATAATTCTAAGAGGCATCAGAATAACACCCACACTGCTCTGACAGATGAACGTTCAGTGGATTTAACTGTAAGAAAGTGATGAACTCAACACCTTCTCTCAGGCACTATGAGCCAGAGGTCAGCTCAGACTCAAAAGATGGTGAGTTCAGACTGATGCACTCCCTGACGATTAGAGACACTCTCAAACAACCACGCAAGGCCTGTGGCCCTAAACTCAGAGAATAATAGGACACTGACTGACAGTGGGATAAACTACAATAACAAAGCAGAGATGCACACAGTCAACATCAAGCTTAATTTGAAGAGCAAAGCTGAGGTCTCAGAGCACAAATTCATGTTTATTTCTTTGTGAAGACAAAATAAGAAAGAGCTCTACTCGTACTCCGTGCACGGTTCAACTCATCCTGACTGCAATGCAGTTCCTCCTGGGAAAATGAAATTATGGAAGAACCACAGGGAGCGGGTGAGATTAGATTAACATATTTATCTAATAATGTAAATGATTTTCTTGGTGCGGGTGTAACATTGTTAATCTAAGCTGGGGAAATGAAATTTCTCAGATGCGCATCAGTACGCTCAAAGAAATAATCATTAGCTTTGCACAAACCACATTATATTAGGGAGGCAGTTTCAGTCAATAACGTCCGAGTGATGAGTTTCACAGTCAACTAAATTCAGGCATTCTTGTGAGTGGTGAGCATAATGTGTGTTTAAGTGGGCATTGAAGCGTCTTCCATTACTCCTTTCTCATTTACCTAAATGCATCAGAAGTTTGCATAAGCCTATAATGGCTAAAAGTATCTGGACACCCCACAAATAATGGTTTGACTATTCCAACTATTCCCAACAGTATGTCCATAACTAATAAGGTTATAAAATCAAGTGTGTAGTCTCTCTCTCTCTCTCTCTCTCTCTGTATGTCTAATGTTCTTTCTGTCCTTAAACCTTCAACATCAATGTTTTTGAAAGTATTTTCAAAACATTCAAGGTTTTTCTTGACAACCTGTGGTTTTGTAGGTAAATATAGACAGTAATATATTCAGTAATATACATAAACATTCAAAAGTTTGGGGTCAGCTAGATTCATTTAAAAAAAAAAATCTATTTTATTCTGCAAGGATGCATTAAATTGATGAAAAGTGACAGAAAAGACCTTTATATTTAAAAATAAATAAATAAAATCTATTTTTAAAAAATGCTGTTCTTTTCAACGTTCTATCCATAAAAGAAGCCTAACACTGAAGACTGGAATAAATTTAACTTTAAATACATTCAAATAGAGAATAGTTATTTTAAATTGTAATAATATTTCACAATATTTATGTTTTTACTCTATTAGTGACCAAAAATGCAGCCTTTGTGAGCATAAGAGACTTCCTTAAATAACATTAAAAAAAAAAAAAACCTTACAGACCTCAAACTTTTGAACTATAGTGTGAATTTTAATTTAACTGAATTTTAATTCTAGTATATTTTCAATTCGCATTTTTCTGCATTAATCCAAATTCGGTAATTGAAATGGATTAAAAAGGCATTTAATACACTTCTGAATAGCTCACAACCCTGCTTACCTGAACTCTGGTAAACACTTTTGGAGATGAATTGAACTGCTGACTACAAGGCCAGACCCAGTCATATAGCTAACATCTGTGCCTGAACTTAAAGGGTTAGTTCACCCAAAAATGAAAATTAGGCTGCGTTTTACTCACCCTCGAGGCGTCCTAGGTGTATATGACTTTCTTCTTTCAGACGAATCCAGCCAGAGTTATATAAAAAATTGTCTGTGATCTTTCAAGCTCTATCATTGCAATCAGCGGGTGTTGCATTGCTTCAGTCCAAACGGAGTTAAATAAAAACCAGTCTCCTCTTGGCTTAAATTGAAATCCTCCGACATTCTTCTTTACAAATCCTCATTTTGTACTTCTAATTCT